TCATGACGATACAGTTAGTATTTTTCTTTTCTTCCAAAAATAAACAATACCTTTTTTTAAAAAAATCTTAAAACCATTTTAGCCGCCCTAAAGGGCCCCCAAGTTCCTTCCCCCCCCCCCCCCCTTTTTTTAGGTTCGCCACAGCACCGAAACACTTGACACCAACCGGCGGTGCTCGTCAAAAGCCTTCATTTGCTGTAGGCCTATCATTCGCATCTCAGGTGGAAAATGTAAGATTTAATTTGTCATTTGTATTTGAACACCTGAAAAAAAAAAAGTATTCAATGACTGAACTTCAATGCTACTGATAATTGATGCTAGAAACTCCACTGAGGAATAACACCACGACCACATTGGTGCGAATCAGCGTTATGTAGAATGCAGGTTACGTTGCATACCAATGAGGTCTATCTAAACTTCTTCTTTTCTATATTAAGCGCCCACGATCAATGTAGGTACTGATCATTCTGGCTCCTATGTATGTAGAGCGGATTTGAAATGTTTCTGTGCCCGGTATCGAAGAGGGTATTTCATTGGTTGCAAGGGCTACTCAGCGAGGATATAGCGAACCGGGTTTCGGCAGGCCTGAGGCAATCGACGCAAATGTGGCAAGTGTTGAACAAGAATTGCCCAACAGGTCCAAAAGTGTTTATAGCTGATTTAGCTCAATAACGAGGCACAGAAATGAAGCGATGAATTTTTCAAATAGTTTTCTTGAACCATTGTTTGTGACACTAAATAAAAAATTAAATACGATTATCACCTTTGCTTTCGTTTAAATGGTTACCTGAAATTTGAAAGAAACTATGACATATCTGTTCGACCGAAATTCCGTTCGATCAAACTTCTATTAGTTTTGTTGTTGTTGTTTTTTTTTTTTTTTGGTATATCATATTTCTTTCAAACACATTTCCGGATATGCGTTTACATACGTGAAAAGGCAGAAATTATTATCAACATTTGTGGGGAACATGGATGGGTAAGACACACGTTTTTTTTTTTTTTTGGTATATCATATTTCATACAAACACATTTCCGGATATGCGTTTACATACGTGAAAAGGCAGAAATTATTATCAAAAATTGTAGGGAACATGGATGGGTCAGACACACGTAGAAAAATATAGAGTTTAGAAACGGGATCATACCAGGATTATGATACAACCGGGATAGGGATCACAACGAGGAACGGGATACCGATGGGTTCGGGAACCCACCGGGATCAGGAACCGACCGTTATCGTGATCCCACCGGTATCGGGATCCCTCCGGGATCGGGATCACACCGGGAAAGGGGATCCCGACAGAATCGGGAACCCACAAGGATCGGGATACCATAAGGATCGAAATCCTACCAGGTTCGTGATCCAACCGGGATTAGGATCTCACCGGGATCGGGATACCAACGGGATCGATAACCCACAGGGGTTGGAATATCGACTGGATCGGGAACACACAGGTATCGTGATCCGACCGGTATCGGGATCCACCCGGGAGCGGAATTCAAACGGGGTCGGGATCCCTCTGGATAACGGGATGTCATCGGAAAACGGGATCCCATCGGGAAACGGGATCCGATTGGAATCCCTCTGGGATCGGGAAAGGTTTACAAAAGTTATTTTAAATGTGTTTTGATAGGTTCTATATGAATTGATGGATTCAAACCGATTTTAATGGGACAACTTTTAAATTTTAATCTTATAATTTATTTGACTGATTTTTATAGGGCCCCCATCTCAGGAAAAAAATGTATCAGTAGAATTATGGAATGGCCCCCCCGCCGGGACCCCTCTTTTAACTTAAATGTACTATAGTTATGGTAGTGCATACAGTTATATATTTGTTTACATATTGTTTTAAAAATAATTACGTAGAAACATGATTTTCACACGTTTCGAGGAGGATATTCAATTCAATCTAGAATGTTCCAGAAAGTTCCATGTTTGTTCTACGGGGCTATTCAATCGGTTCTAAAAGCTTATTGAAATGTTGGTTTAGTTCTATTCATAACTTAAAACGTTCATGGGGATTTTCTCTTAACAGACCCTTCATAATCCTACCGGGAACTAAATCCTACTGGGAACATGAACCCACCGAGGAGCAGGGACCTACAGGGGAACGAGAACCAACAGTAAACTGGAACCCACCGGTAACGCAATCCCATTGGTTGACGGGATCAAACCGGTATCGGGATCATATGCATATCGGAAAACGGGATCCCACAGAGAACGGGATCGGGATCCCACCTGAAAAAGGGATTCCACCAGGAACGAGCCCCTTAATCGGGAAACTGGATCCCACCGTGAAACTAGATCCCACCGGGAATCGGGATTCCGCCGATATCGAGAAACCACCGGGATCGGGATCCTACCGGGATCGGTATCCCACCGGGAATCAGGATCACATCAGATTGGGACAACACTGGGATCGAGATCCCAACGGAAAACGAGATCCACTGGTGTCAGGAACCCACCGAGATCGGGAAAACTTTCGGGATCGGAATTTCCATCAGGATAGAGATTCCACTGGGATCGGGATCACACCTGGAAACGGGATCACACAGAGATTGGGATCCCATTGGAATCGGGATCTCACCGGGAAATGGGATTGCGAGCCCACAAGAATCGGGATCCCACCGTGATCATGATCCAACCGGGATCGGGATTCACCCGGATAGGGATCCAACAGGGATCGGGATCAAACCGGGTTGGGTTCCCTCCGGGAAACAGGAACCATCGGAAAACGGGATCCCATCGGGAAAGGGGATGCGTTTTGGATCCCGCTAGGATCGGGATCCCACCACGAACGAAAGTTTTACAAAGTTATTATAAAAGAGTTTTTATAGGGGACACATTTAATTCTTTGATTTTTTAACTATAGCGTTTACATGGCCCTTAATTTTAATTATAAGGCTGTAGAAGTATTTGTTTTTTCCGAATGCAAACCCGGGCAAAGCCTGATGTATTGGCTAGTATGCATATAATAATGGTAGTATGGTCACAATTGTTTAAATAATAAAATCCTTAACATTTAGAAAATTTAAAATGTATATACATATTATATTTTTTTACTACCGTTTTATTATATAGTAATATTTAAGAACAAAATTGCGACCAAAAAACCCCACCTCACGGTACATTATATTGATATTGTAACTGTAACCATTGACATCTGTATAAATCTGACTAAATTGCATATTTAAATTTTGTTCTCATTTATATTTTAATGATCATACATCTTGATTACTATTCGTTCACGCAAGTTAAGCTTAAATGTTAAAAAATGCGTTTAAAAAAAACAACCAAAAAAAAAACAAGTCTATAATGAAGGTCTCTGCGTATCCACTATACTTTCGTTCGCAGACGATGTGGCGGAAGTTAGGGTAAGATCTGCGTGCGCATCATCATCAGTGAGTAGAGAATCCATTTCACAGCTGTAAAAATCAACAACCTTTGTGACTTCATTGTTTACAAAATACAAGTAAATTATGTTCAGATTGGTTTTTGTTGATTTTATAGTTAGATAACTGTTGTTTATTGGCAAATACTTTTTTTGCTGAGATTTGGTACGAAAATACGGTTAGAATCATCTAAAATGTTACCTCTACTCAAAACAAAAAACTTAACAATCTTAATTTTCTGATTCTTAAGTTAGTTAGGACTTGCAATATCAGAGGTTACAATTTTACTAATTTACACTGTCTTTCCGTGATTCTATATTTATTATGAATATGTACTTTAGCAATTTAAAGAAATACCTATGGTTGTGTTTTACTTCTGAATATCTACTTCCATTGCTAGTAGTCTTAAGTAGTATTTGGACCTTTTACTTCTACAAAAATTAAGTCTAAGTACTAAAAAAGTGGGAAGGCTAATTAAATTTAAGTTGTCAGTTGTCATGTAAAGTAATATTCTGAAGGTGGACTGAGATATCAGAAAATATCCCGGTGGGGGTGGGCTACCGGGGATGATGATATTTAGGCTGTCTGAGCCGCCTCTCATATTATTATTAGTAATATTAAAATTAGGTACCCTGAACAAAATTTTCAAAAAGAAGTTACAGCAGTGATGACAGCAGCCTTAAAGTTTAAGCCTAGTTATTTAGATAGGCTTGGACAAGAAAAAAAATGTGGTCAATTCTTGAGAGAGAGCTGACACTGCTTAATATACATGAAGGAAATGTAGTCAGCATACCCAAATAGTCACTGTTTTGAAACTAATAAAATTGTTGGGGGAGGGGGGATTTATTTGCCTATTCTTGTAGTTGTAGATATGATAATTGGATGCTTTAAAAAGTGTTTTTCATGAAAATTGTAACTGGTGGAGATTATAACAGAAATGAGAAAATAGTAGACTTAGCTTAAGTCTTAAGTCAACTTGGTATATATTTCCAAAGAAATTCATGATAAAAAAATTGGAAAACACAGTACTGTTATGAATCCAAACCTCTTTAAAATGATATTTCACAAAATCTATTCATAAAAGAAATGACAGCAAATCACATTTTTTCCCAGTGCTTATGCAATGTTTTTTTACATTTTTAAGTGGACAAAAAGTTGATTTGTCACTAGCAGAAAAATGATTTATCCAAGTACCTATTCCCCTATTTATATATCTATTAAAGGCTGATGATATATTCATTGTTTTTGTTTATTAAGAGTATATTCATTATTGAAATCTTAGGTGTTTAGGCTATTATTATTGGTGTATAGGCCCCCATTATTTTGTTATGACATTTGACTTAAATTAGTCATGATTCAATTATAAAATTAAAGTGTGATTTAGACAAAGCAATTAATAAGGCCTTCTTTTTATGAATTAAGTATTTACTGACTTAATAGAGTAGTCTCTATTAGATCCTAGAATTGGAACTAAGATTAATATTATTCAACAATGTATGATTATCAACTCAAGTTATTCTTTTCTTTAACTTTTTAAACCTGAGGCTTGACCTGAGGAGATAAAATATTTGAAAAAAATTTGAGTAATGTCAGAGATCAAAATAGTAAAATACCAATGATGAAAGCAACATATTCAGCCTTTTCCTTCTAACAATTAAATTTAATACTTGAAAGTTAAATTAAAGAAACTTAGCTAAATATTGGGCTAAATTATTGATTTTCCCATATTAGGACATATGCCTGTAATGCTCAATGTTATTAGGCCTATGGGGTCATCCATAAATAACATCACACATTTAGGTGCAAAAAAGGGTTTCACAATTTTTGTGATGATGTGTTATGAAGGTGTCAAAATTTTGTGACAAATTTGTGTCATTTTAGCCTGAGCTGCAGACAAAACACTGCTTTGTATAAAGCTAAATTCTATAAGTTTGTTTCAGTTCAGCTTTGGTGACTTTAACTCTAATATAATGAATAATATTGTTTACTGATAGCAGTGATGACTATTGCTTTGTTTTAAAGAGAGGGAGAGAGTAATTCAAACAAAATGTCAGGTGTACTTGTAATGACGATACATTACATTGACATATAAAAAGTAGATACTTCGATGAAAGAAGGGAGACTACTATTTTTTTTGTATCGGAAATGGGCGTCGGCGCCGAAAAATCCGAGTTTTTAATTTTCCGATGTGTGTGTCTATTTATTATTAAATTAGTTCTTTCCACATATATTTGAGTTCCGTTTCCGGCCTTATAATTTGGAAGACATCTTGGCCTACATTTCTAGCCAGCTATTTTGCTTTTTTCAATCGACCTTTATTTTGAAAATCTTTGGTATATATAAGGCATCTTCGCATACAAAATTTTTTGTGAAATAATAAGATAAGGTCCTTTTTGATTAAATCTGTATGAGCATTAGATATTGATCTATATCTGTGCCAAGTTTCATTGATGTAGGTCGTGTCTCACGTTTGTTACACTTGTCACAGTGACCCATATCACCATAAGGTGGCTCAGCCTAATTTCGACATGGCGTGGGCCACGCCCCCTTTTTAATGGCGGAAGTTGCCGATACTTAGGAAATATTTAATTATTACCACTATATACATCAAAATATTTTATATTTTGTGTTTCAGAATGCATTTTGAAGACATTTAAACTGGAAATGTTTTAATTTGAGCTTTAAAAACCCTGCAGAGTCCATAATATAAATGATCAGAATTTTCCGTGTGCAACACGTTGTCATTGGCAACCATTCACAGCCACTTGCATAACGGCTACGTTGTAGTACTATCTCAGAGTTTCATTCATAAGAGTTTGCCGTGTGCAAAAGCTATTAAACCATTGGTCAGGGAAAGCTTTTATTAATTATTCATGTGCCAAAGTTGAAAGTTTAAAATAAGTCGACCCTAAACAGTATTTTAGTGATAAGGGAATGCATTGCCTTATATAAACTATATAGTCATTGCGCATGACGCGATCAGTGGAATGAGGTCACAGAATGTGGAGATGCAGTCTATGTTAAAAAATGACAAACCAAGTCGTACTTTAAAAATTCATAACTTTAAAACTACAACAGCTAAAAATATGATTTTGGTGTTATAATTATGTTTAAAATTAGCTCTATTCAACTGTGCCATTGGTTTATTTTTAAAAAATGTTTACATTTTTGACCAAAGTATCTATAAAAAGGTTGTCTGAAAATGTTATTCAAACATGTTTTATGATTAAGGTCTGGAATTTCTTTTTCTTAATTACTTAGTCACTTATTTTTTAATCAAATTTTGAAAGGGTATGCCAGAGATTCTGAAAACTAATGGAATTTTTAATGATTTTAGCTAACTTATGTAATGAGAATCAAAAGTCTTGCTTGTATTTAATACAGCTCATTATACCTTTATGAGAAAAACAATATAATAACTTCAATTTTCAGTTCTATGAACATTATGTAAATCTTAATACCGGTATTTCCTGTTCTTCATATTATTTTAAACAGCTTTTTAACAAAATTAATTGGCTTTTATTACATTGATTTAAATTAAGATAAAAGTAATTATTTTGTGTTAATGCTAGAGCTAGACAAATGCTATAAATTATGTTAGCTATAATTACAAAATATCTAACAAATGCCAAATGATTTATGGATGAAATTTTTATTTATAAAATTAAAAAACAAAACCACTTTAACTTTGTTAAAAATCTTAATTTGAACTTTCTTTAATAATTATTTCTCTGTGATTGTCTGATAAATATAAAAATATTTTATTGAAAAGATTTAGATTTAGGCATAAAACTAATTAATTGTTTTTAATGCCAAGTTGTGTAAAAAATGTAGTAAAGCCTAGAAGCTTGTTTTATTTGGCTACAGCAGTGGGTCTGGCAATGACATATCCAAATTTGACTTTATTTAGTTTCAGTCTAAGTAAAAGCTGAACATAAAAGTATAATTTTATCACATGCAATATACGAATTCATTGTTAGCAGGGTAAAGGTGGGTACGATGGGTGATCATCCCACAGGCGCCAAGGAGACAAAATTTGTTAAAATCAAACAAAAATGTTTTCTGAACTCTTCCCATAATTTTCCAGAGGGTGATAATTGCCTATTTTCACCCAACCTAAAAATGTCTAGCTGCCGGCCCTGATTGTTGTTCATACTAAGCTAAATATTTAGTCAGACTGTAGTGACATATTAAACACTGCTTCATTGCAGTCACTCAAGATGATAAGTCCTTGTTTAACATGAGTGTTGTATTTTAATTTCTCATCAGAATGAAAAATGCTTTCAATTACTTTCTGGTGCTTAAGATAGTAATTTCTACTTTGTGCTTAATGAGGTTGTCAGTGTAAAACCTGTCAATCTCTTCATATAAAAACTAGTTTGCTAATTAATTTCAATATGGAAGATAAATTTACTATGCACAACAAATATCCCTACTCAAAGAAAAGCAATCATATTTATTCATAACATAATATTAAAAACATTTGAAATATGAACAGAAATTTTAAAGAAATATACACTATAAATATAATTTAAAATTTAAATATCTCTTAGCATCAACTGTGGTTTTATTATATTTTTTAACAAGTAACCATTAATAAATTTAATAATTTAAACTTTGCATCTAGTTAACATCCCTTAAATCCCTTTGCTGTTTAAAAATAGGTTATTAAAGACATACATTAAAAACTTGGTGATGGAAGAAGTTAATGACATTGTTTTCAGGCGCCCTAAATATAAATAATAATAATATGACAACTGCTAGTTATTCAGTTAACTTTGTTTAAAGCTAGATTGAACTTTTGGCTAACAGACCTTATTGAAAAAGTTATGCAAAATTTTCTCTATGCAGACTACATCTGGCATGTGCTGGGTGTGTGTGGTAGCATATGGATGCTCTATGTGAAGAGCCGGCGGGGGGTAGTAAACGCAGGCGCGGTGCAGGGGTCAATTCTAACACTACAAAGTAAGTACAAAAACAGCTTACCTAAATAAGTTGTTCCAGAGAATAATGCAAATTTGTTATACTTACAGTACTCTGTTTATTATTCACGCTTTGTTTGTACATAATGCTGGTGGTACCATTTTATTGGTAAATATCATGTCTTTGAAAATGTATTGCCAAAAATAATGAAACTATGTACCGGTAGTTCTTAAAAGCACAGAGAATTTGGCTTTCATTTATGCACTTTTTCCTCAAGAATGTATGATGTCACATCACTAAAAATATAAAATAACATTAGAAAGTAATTTATTACTTAGTTATATAATTTGTACTCATCCTTATTGTGCAACTGGACATAATGGTCATACGTTTTCCAATTTTTGTTTAGATCAGCAGCAACTGATTCAGCACCTGCTAATAAGCCTCGTAGAGGTAGAAAATCTAAGTCTAAGAAAGAGAAGGCCTCACCTGCATTGTCAGCAGATCTACCACATCAAGGATCTTCAAAATCATCCAAGTTTGAACTTGGTGTACCAAAAGAGGATCTCACAGTAGCAGCTGATGTGATTTGCAGTGAAACTGTAACATTGGGGAAAGGAAAGGGAAAATCAAAAGGAAAACAACGATCTTTAAGGCCTAGGAAGTCAAACACCTCCCTAGCTGAGGCTGATTTGGAGGCTGCAGCCTTTAGGTACATTACAGAGTCATTTGATGAGCCTGTGAGGGACGTATTTGTAAGGAATAAAGGAAAAGGTAAAAAACGAAAAGTTCCAGAAGTAATTCATCTGTCACCTAAATCTGATTTACCAGAGGAAGTTGAAGAAGAGTCAGGTAAGTGTTTTGAGGAATTTAAATTCAATTTTTCATTTTATTTTAGAAAATCACTTGACAAAAAGTATGGCTATAAGTTAGTCTTAAACTACTACTACTTACGTCTTGTGTATGCATTTGAAGCTCCTGATTCTGTTTGTATTCTTGTGTTTTTTAAATCTAATTTGACCCATTGTGTCTGGAGAGAGTGAGAGATTAAGGGTTTGATTTTATCCACTCTCAAAGTTATCTGCACTCTTATTTCTTTGGGGGTTGAAGTCTCTTACACATCCATCTATCCCCGTGGCTCTGCAGCCCATGTAGGCTTTTGCCTGCCTCACCACCTCTTTCCACCCAAACTTAAAAATGTTTTTCTTTTCCACGCTTGGATTCCCAGTTGCTGTATATCATTTTCCACATCATCCATCCATCTAAGTCTAGGTCTGCCTTTGAGTTGTTTTCCTGTGGGGTTTTGGTGATGTGCACTCTTCTGTCATTTGGCATTCATTCTAAGTGTCCTGCCCATTGTAGCCTACCCTTTATTTCTGTTACTAGCGTGGGATCCATATTCATCCTATGTTGGTAAATATGTTTTCCGGAGAATGTTTCTCTCCCTTGTGTTAAATAGGTTTTCTGCCAATTTAGTTAGGGTCTATGTCTCACTTGCGTATGTTACAGTTGGTCTGATCACAGTTTTATAAATAGGTTTCTTTGTTTTTCTTGTAATGTTTTTACTTATGAATATTTTCTGACTACTGAAGTATGCCCTGTTTCCGGCTGATTTTCTTTCTTTTAATTCCGTTAGTAATTTGTTTCTTTCATTTAGTAAAGATCCCAGGCATTTACATTTTTAAAAGTCTGGTTTCTAATTTTAAAGGCTTCATCTGTCTGTTTTTCTCTTATCATGTATTTTTTTTTTTTGTTAACTTCCAGCCCTGCTTGTAAAGATGTGTCTTCTAATTCAATAAAGGATTTTGATATGTCTTTAATACTTTTCCCTAACAGTGCTATGTAATCAGCATATGCAAGATACTGAAAGGGTCGATTGTAGAGAGTGCCCATTGGTTGTGTGTCTTGGAAAGTATCCTGTTATTGTTCCTCGGTTGTCAATATGTATGCTTCTTGTAACTCTCTCTAATGTTAGGTTAAATAGCATACAAGACAGTGAGTCTCCTTGTCTTAAGCCTAATCAAATCTGAAATTCCCTTGAATATTCTCCCTGAACCTTGATTTTGCTTTTTGAGTTGTTTAATGTTACATGTATCAGTCTTGTCAGTTTGTTGGGTATGCCAAACTCCTGCAGAGTCTCATATAAATATTTCCTTTTGATGCTATTATAGGCCATTTTATAGTCTACATAGAGTTGGTGCAATGAGATATTAGATTCATAGCATTTCTCTAATAGGCATCTGATAGTGAAAATCTGCTCAGTCTTTTTATCTGCTTTGTCAGAATCCGCATTGGTGGTCACATAGTATTTGTTCAGTGCACGGTTGTAGCCCTTTCGCAGTTAGTTTTGTCAGTATTTTGTATGCTAAATTTCATAGGGAAATTCCTCTGTAGTTTTTGCTTTGAAGTTTGGAACTTTTTTGTGTATCAGGGTTATTAGTGCTTTTTCCCATTCTGCTGGAATTTTCTCCTATGCCAGATTTTATTTATAAGTGAGTGTGTAGATCTCTTCCTCCATATTTGATAACATTTACTGTAACGGTTTCTCCAGTGGCTTTGTGGCTTTTCATGTAATTGATTACTCCTGTAGTTGGGGAGCTTATAAATGGTCTGGTCCTCCATGTTGTCGTTGATAATCTTTATCTTGTCTAATCTTGTCTATTGTCTGCATTTAGTATGTCCTAAAAATATTCAGCCAAGTACTAACAATTTTCCATAATTATATATCCATCCTGGCTCTCATCCGTTTGCAGTCTGGCTTGGTATCCATCATTTTCATCTTTTATCTTCATGAACATTACTTTGATGTTTCTCTCTCTTGATAAGTCTTCTACTTCTTTTTTAGCTTGGCTTATTCCCATTCCCTTTTTTTCTTCCTACAAATTTTTTTGGCATTAATTCTGGCTCCCTTGTATGTTTGTCTTGTCTTTCTGATTTCCCTTTGTATTATGGTCATTCGTGCTTTGCTCCTTTCTTCAACAGTCTCTCTGCTTCGATTATCAAACCAGCCTACTCTATCTCTAGTTTGCTGGAATCCTACTATTTGTTCTGCTGATCTTTTCACAGCATTTTTCATACAGGGTTTAATACTCCCCAAGATTAGCCGTTGGGCTTACTCCATTCCACCCCACTATTTGTCAATATCCCTGACACAAACTATTGTGCCATGATGCCACCTTAAACAAAAATAACAACCAAAAAATGCTGTCTTAATCACATCTCTATATTTATTTTAGTGAGTAATTTAAAGCAATGTCAAAATCGCCTATCATTTTAATTTAATGCAATTTACAGCATCAACATTTAAAGGGAAAGGAAAGCGCAAGAAAAAAAACGAGAAAGGGGCTAAGAAAGAGAAACTCTCTAAAACCTCTCTGGTTCAAGAACAGGACACTCCCTACAGTGATTTGGAAGACTTTGTCGAAGAGTTTGAAGATCTTATATTACCACAACCAACAGCTCCCAAAAAACGCTGCCTCCGATCATCTTCTAACGAAGAGAAAGAGGCTGGTTCATATTGCATTGTGCCTGGTCCATCGTCAAACAAATTAACACCACCTTTACAGAAGAAATCTGAAACTTCTGGGTCTTGCACCAAAAAGGGCGAGGCTAGTAAGTCCAAGAAATCAGTGAAGGCCTCAAAATCAGTCAACAAACCACCAAAAGAAGAAAAGTCTCTGCCCAAAGGAAAGACTAGAGGCAGAAAGACGGGATCTTGTGCTAGTAATAGGTACTTAATTTTTCTTTATCTCAGGAATCAGCATCTAAGAAAAAATTAATAACAAAGTTTTTTGTTTGGGCCAGCTCTGTATTTTAACAGGAAAAGTCATAATAAAATATTGTCATTACATGGTAAATTGTATAAAAGAAATTGTGAGCTAAAAAAAAAAAAAAAAAAAAAAAAAGAACTAAAAAATAAATAAAAAAGTTTTTTGTTTTGGCCAGCTCTGTATTTTAAAAGGAAAAATCATAATAAAATATTGTCATTACATGGTAAATTGTATAAAAGAAATTGTGAGCTAAAAAAAAAAAAAAAAAACTGTAGAAGAGCTTATGATTGAAATTGGTGAAATTAACTTATCTGTAATCTGTGATAATTTCATCATAACAAATCATCATAAAAGTCTAACATTTAAAAAAAAAAATCAATTGTAGATTAATATTTTTAAAGAGTTATCATCTGAAACAAGAAAATCAATAAAATTAACATAAATTAGCCTGGCTTTAGCTCTGTCAGCCTCTGTAAATTTTCTATGGTGAACAGGAATTTCCAATGTGAATGCCATTATTACTGGTTTGTTTTTAGTGTGCACTGTGTTTTAACACAATATATAAATACTTAAAGAATACTTTTTATTCAAACCATCTTGTGATTTTTATGAAGTGTGAATGGTTTACTACACATCAGCCTTGTAGGAGCTAAGAGAAAGAAAAGGAGTTCTAGACTCAGAAATTGTTTTGGAAACCCTGAAAAGTCTGATCCGTTTGTGTGATAATTCTAATGCCTAACAATGAATGAGAGTGTTATTATTTCTTCTTTAAAAGATTGTTTAAATTGCTGACCAATTATTTTCACCAGTGGGCGTCAATCGTCTACAGTCAGTAGAGGAACAGGGAGGGCTGGTGCCAGCCGTGGGTCCAGTGTAGGGGCCAGGGAGAGAGCAGATTTAAGCAAAAGTAGTATTCCAACAACTACCACAAACCTATCAGCCATGTCTTCATCAAGTCATCAACAAGACAGCGCTGGCAGTGGTGGAACCAGGCCAAGGGAGGGTGGAGGGGCAGGTGGTAATGCTCAGCCAGAAGGTCAAGGTAAGTTTTTGATACATTTAACAATAAAACTGATGTTTGGACTGGAGCTCCAGAATGTTAGCCACATTTTTAGGGTTTGATTTTGTCTACAAACTAGGGTGCTGGTAGTGTTTAAAATACTTAATATTACATTTATACTGAATTAACCAGACACAGTATCAGGAATGCCCCTTGGAGCTGTGGGAGGAGCTGGTCCAGATACTGAAAGTGATGAGTCGGATATGAATAGACTTCAGGGTAAATTAATTAGTTTTATTTTAACTTAAGGGTATTTTTGCTCAGTTACTTTGTTTTACAATTTTATGTAACTTTTTTTTTTCCTGTCTTTTCTTTTCAACCCTAAACACATCATGTTTAATTATTTATTTTTTTCACATGGCTTGAACGTCCCTTGGGATTAAATTTTTAACAAGTTTTAACTAATATTATTAGTTCTTTTTAATGTATTTCTTTATCAAATAGAATTGAAAGATTAGCATTTGAAGAAATTGCTCCAACATCATGCCATAAATAAAGTATAAATTCAAGGCTATAAGTAGCTAATAATTTTATTTTTGACAATTACAAACATGAACATCACTGGATAATAGTGTAGCAGTCATCATTTGCTGCATTATGACTCTTGTTTTCTTTTTAAAGTTCAGAAACTGATACAAAAAAAAAACTAAAAATAATCTTGACATTATCTGTTTCATGTCCCTTAATATATTTTTCAGCTTTACTGGAAGCGCGAGGTCTGCCATCTCATCTGTTTGGTGCACTGGGACCACGCATGCATCAGCTTCTACACCGCACAATGAGTGGTGGCACATGTAATAATATAGTCAATAACTCTTCAAATCTAATAATTTGAATGATGTATTAAAATATATCTCATTTATGGAAAAAAGGCCTTATAAAGTTGATACAAAAAATGTTTTTAAAATCCAGCAGTAAATAACATATAAGTAATTCAATAATTATGTTGGGACATAGTATTGTTATGAACTAGAAGTACTTTTCAGTTTTTAATTAAAATTAAATTTCAATGTTACAAATTTACTAAATATTTCCTCACATAGTGACCAAAGTGCAGCACTTGCTTCAAGGTCTTCAAGCCACTGGGGATGAAGCCCAACAGTTGTCAGCTGTTATGGAGATGTGTCAGGTAGACAATTCAAATGTTATGCAAATCGCACATTAATAAAATTTCTTCCTTGAAAGACTAGCTATGGAGGTAGGTCGTAGCATGTTTACTTTAGGGCTAATGTTTTTACATATATTTTCCCAGATACTAGTAATGGGGAATGAAGATAGCCTTGTGGGGTTCCCTATCAAGCAAGTGGTGCCAGCATTGATCCAGCTGCTTCAGATGGAGCACAACTTTGAGATGATGATCCACGCCAGCCGGGCTCTCACATACATGATGGAAGCTCTGCCAAGATCTTCAGCCTCTGTAGTGGAAGGTGTTGCAGTATTTTTGGAAAAGGTGACACATCAGAATGATCTTAGCAAAAATCATTTTATAAATTTAAAAAATTTTATTTCATTTCTTTACCAAATAATAGATGCAATGCAGCAGCTGTATAAGTTTTTTTTACATATGGCAAACTGCTTAAAGTGCATCTTACAAATGTACCAGAATGAATGATTTGTAAAATTTTAATTCACAGCTGCAAGTCATCAATTGTATTGATGTTGCAGAGCAGTCCCTTTCTGCTCTTGAGACATTGTCTAAGCGACATGGGAAAGCTATCCTTCAAGCTGTAAGTATTATTTTCTTAGGAACATATGGAAAAAAATACTTGTTTTTGGGACCATCACTCATTACAGATTTCATGCTTAAATAATTGACCTACAAGTGTTGGGTTTCATTTTAAATAACATTAATTTCTAAGTCTATATTTAAATTAAAAGTTAATTTTACAATACATTCTGTAATTTTTAAATGATCATTTCCCTCTTCATCAACAGGGTGGAATTTCTGCATGTCTTATGTTCCTGGACTTCTTCAGCATTATTGCCCAACGCAGGGCTCTAAATATCTCGGCAAACTGTGTCCAGTCCATGTCAGCTGATGAGTTTCACTACATAAGAGACTCTTTATCTCTTCTAAGTGCCAGGCTAAATCACTCTGTAAGTTTTTGTTTTGGTAAACTGTTTTGTTCTTAGAATTTGAGTTTCCTTGTTAAAATTGACTGGTTCATTAAAACAAAATCATAAAATGATTGGATTTCATTCTTAAAATGTTTGAAATTTCAGGATAGCAAATCAGTGGAAAGTGTGTGCCTGTGCTTTGCAAGACTTGTTGACAACTTCCAGAATGACCAACGGCTACTTAAAGAGATTGCAGTCCACGACTTGTTGACTAACATACAGCAGCTGGTAAAAATCTTAGCATTTTCTTTAAAATATAGGCATTTATGAATATAAAAATTAAATTCCAATATATGTAACATTGTAAGTTATGATCTTGAATAATGGATAACAAAATTTACATAGCTTTATTAAACATTATATTTTCATCTTTTTAAAGTTTTTTTTTCTTCTTTTCTTATGCATAGTCAATTTAATTAATCACTTATGCAAGTCCCACAATAGCAATGTTGTAGAAATATATTTTTTTAAAAAGTGTTTCACATTTATAATTTATTATTGATTAAAATAAACATTTAAAGAATTTTAATATTGAACTTTTTGATTATTTTAAAAACAAATTTGAAAACCAAACTAATCAGCATCTGCGTTAATTTTACCCAAAAAAATTTGATTTAATTCCCCAGTTGATGATGAGTCCACCTGTTATCAGCACCAGTGTATTTATCACAGTGGTTAGAATGTTGGTGGTAATGTGTGCCAATTGCCCAGATTTGGCAGTAATCCTGCTTAAACAAAGTAAGCCTCCCCTAGTTTTTTATTATGATTTTGTTGAAATATGTTACATGATCATGTAGCATTCTTGTTAGTTCATTCTGAAATAAGAGTGTAAGATGCGGTCATGATGATAAATGTAGGCAAAATAATTTTCTTACAAACCAGAGAATATGTAATTGTGCAAAGCCTAATACTTCAAGGACATGTAAGTGTGCAAAAGTCAAATACACTGATGATATAAAAATCTGATTTGAATGTGCAAAGTTGAAGTATGCATAACATCCAAAATGGAAATGTCTGCTTTGCTATTTTCAGAAATAGCAGAGACATTAAGATACCTCTTGACAGGCTCATCTGAAACTTCAGATCAGTGTTTTGAGGTAGGTAACTGACTTATTATTATTTTAATTTTTTTATTTTAGTGATGCAAGCAAACATAAGTTAGCCTCTACATTATAGCTTGACATTTTTACCCCTCATTTATCAAATTGATAGGTGTAAGGAAAATTATTCTGTATAAATAGTGCCTAAAAAAATTAGCCAAATCAAGCCAAAATATAAATTTTCATATTTCAGCTGGTATCTCGAACTCCACAAGAATTGTATGAAATTGTTAGTCTCATTGGGTAAGTTTAAAGTTTTAATTGACTCAATGTCCTTGCACAAAGAAAGCCTTAAAACCTGTTGACCTACATTTTGTTATAAGAATTTGTTGCAATCTAATGTTTATTTAATTAATGCCTTCAAAATGAAAGATAAAATATGCAGTTGAATTTTTCTTCTCAGCTGTTCTATACCTTATTTGCATGCCCACATCTTAGAGCTGGGGTCTCAAACTCACAATCATCAAATTATTTATAATCATAGATAATGCATCATAATGAATTCTTTGAAAGACTTGTGATCAATATTGCTCTTATGCGGCCCTACAGTGACGTTGAGTTTGAGAACCCTGGCTAGACAGGGACATTATAAATATGTTATATTGTCTCGTTCATATTTTTAATGGACATTTTAACATAATGTTTGGCAATATTCTGTGTTTCCACTAATTTACAAGCCTAGACAGAGATAATGGTTAACCAACCATCCCAATGCACTATTATAAACAATTTTTTAAAATATTATATAATTGTTCAAATCTATTCCCGAAATTCTTAAATGTTTCAAGATAATGGGAATTGTGTGATATATTTCAGAGAGCTTCTTCCACGCCTCCCAACAGATGGACTTTTCACTGTTAACAGCCTCCTTCGTAAAGGTGGAGCCATCAGTCTTGATGGTGCGTTTTGGCAGTGGCAAGATGACAGGGGCTTGTGGCATATGTACACCCCCATTGACAACAAAATTGTTGAGGTAAGGGATTTTAGTTTTTGCATTATTTATACTTGTAGTTAATATCATTTCCAAAAATAGTGTGTTAAATTATTTGTTTGGGATATCACTGTCCAAAACGTCATAGCAGATGGCTTAGTTTATTCTTTTAAATTAAATTGCTGATGTTTGTTAAAAGATAAGACCATTGGAAAAAATCAATCATTGTGATTTGAAAGCAGTTAACCCATGTTTCTATAATTCTGACCAGTAAGAAACGGTTTATTGGATTATTTTGTTGTTCTTACCCTAAAGGCTGCATACCAAGCTGGAGAAGAAGAGGTGAGCCTCTCAACTATGGGGAGATCTTACTTACTGGACTTCAATACCATGCAGCAAATCAACGAAGACACTGGCACTGCCAGGCCTGTTGTTCGCAAGGTTAACAGTCTTGGCGTTGGTGGACAGAACAGTGCGGCAGGAGATACACGTAAGTTAATGGATTGAAAGGTGATCCTATCATAAGCTAATGTTGTTAACAAAATAAAGTTTGAATCATAAGTGATAATTTTGACTTGGCTATGTAATTCATATTAATAGTCAAACTGTCAAACTTTATTTCTAAAACAGTTGGTCAGTCTGATCCGAATGTCGAACGCTGTGATTCAAGAGCTGAGATTTTAAAAGAGGACCAGGACTTGGCTTCCAACTTTATCCAAACATTATTTGCTGTTTTGTATGAGGTTTACAGCTCATCTGTAAGTAAATAATCAATATAAATCTATGTTGAGTGGCATCCTGGCCTTTGTAACTTTGTATTCAATAAATACTAAAAAGGGAAGCAGGTTAATTCAACATTTTTTAATAAATGGTTTTAAAATTGTAAATAATTTTAAATTAAAATTTGTTCAGCTACTTTTGTTAATCTGCTGTTGTACCTATTTTTTTGGTAGTTTTGCTCCACAAAATTGAGCTTCAGAATTTTCACTGTATTAATTTCAATCAGGCTGGTCCCAATATCCGCCACAAGTGCCTTCAGACTATTCTGAGAATGATCTACTATTCTCCTCCTGATTTGTTGAGACAAGTACTTGTTAACCAATCCGTTTCAAGGTAGGCAGACAGCAGTGAGGTTTTAAAAAATAGGCGGAGTAAAATTTTCAATAGGTGTCTGTTTATTCAGCATGCAAGAATTTTGAAGTATGATATTGCATGCAAACTTTGATGTGCGCAGCCATTGATTATCATCTCTGTAATTGTCAATTAGCCCCTAGCTTTCAACTGATAGCAATAATAATTTTGTTTTTAAATGCTTCATTGAAAAATGTTTTATTCTTTCAGTCACATTGCTTGCATGTTAGGCTCTCCTGATCTAAAAGTTGTTGTCGGAGCTTTACAAATGGCCAATATCCTGATGCAGAAATTGCCTGATGTGTACAGTGTTTATTTCAGGAGAGAAGGTATGCACATTTTCATAAAATATTTTAATATTACTAAGTAAAGTATGAAAATACAACTGATCTTTAAAAATTATGTATTTTTTGCTGGGATATAAATTTTGATCACATAGAAGAGAATCATTTGGCAAGTAGTTAGAAAATTTTTATTTTAGAAATAGTGTGCATTTATTTGGTTTAAGATACTTGGTGTCGAAGAGAAGAATGGTATGCAGCTGAGTTTCCAAATCTTTACTGTTTTCTCCACCCATACAGATTGCATTGCAGATTGCATTTTATAGTTGAAAAAAATTGACTTTTTAATATTTCTTTTTATTGAATTGGAAAGATAACTATAACACTTAAAAAATAAATGTAAGATTTATTACATAAAATAAAGTGGTATTGGATGAATGAAAATTTATGTAAACATTTATATCTTAACTAAAAAAATCAACTTTTGCTCTGTTCTTGTTTTTATTTTGTTAACGATTTATTACTTTTCCTTGCATCCTCTGGGTGCCACCTTGTATCCCCTGGGGATTAGAGCATTTCATGTTGTGAAACCCTGTTTTACAGTATCAAACTAAAAGTAAACTCTGCATTGAGGTTTCTAATATAGATAATTAAATTATGCCTGACTTTAAAACCTAGTTTTTAAGTTAATTTTAATTTTATTAATATTTTGTTCTAATAATTTCCACTATACAGGTGTAATGCACCAGATCCAAAAGCTTGCCACCCAGGAGGTGTTGCCATCATCTCCTACCAAGTCAAGCCACTCTCCAGGTTCATCACCAGTCTTAGGTTCAGTGTCAGACACTGGCTGTGCCCTCTCTCCAACAGTACCAAGGATAGAGGCACCTGAGGTTGGAGATGGTGATGATCTGTTTGCTGGTGGTGCATCCCATCACTTGGAGGAACCTTGTGCTTCATCTGCGCATACGTATGTGAACAATGAACTAGGTTTTAACTTTTAACAGTGTTCTCTTTTGCACAAGTCCATTTGTTTAGCCACATAAAGATAAAAATTGTTGTGTGCTATTCAACATTTATTTCAGTAGTTCTGACATAGCCAGAGCAAAACTGTACAATATATAAATTACATTAAGAGTTCTTTTAAAATTTTTAAAATATCTTTAGTTCTTATTAACACAGGTATGTAGTAAAATTATGTAAACTAACTCCACTTAGTATCTTGTAAGGTCAGAAATATTCAAGCTCATCTCAAATTTGTAAAAAAAATTCCAAGCCTCTTTGCATGTGCTACTAAGTTTAGAAATGAAATTCTGTTACTGCTAAAGTAATTAACAAATTGTACTTATTTTTCTTACTTCACACAAATGCCATTTTAGTTTAACTTTTCTTTATGAACTAGTTAAAAAGAAGCTTTAAACTTTAAAATGGATTATTACCCAATCTTTTAAACTTCTAGTAAATCAAATTTAGAATATTTTTTTCTGTTATTTTTGTGTACAAAGAAGATTTATGAAGTTCACTTATGGCCAGAACATAATAAAAAAAATATGACTTTTTTGTATAAATACTTAGGAAACTCAGTGATGTGTTGAAAAGGAAACGTCCACCAAGGAGGGGACCATCTAAGAAGGGTAGCAAGTCAGATGATTCTGCAACTACAGAGGCATCTCCTAAAGGTGTTGGACTTCTGCTTGGAAGAAGTTCTAACAGAGGGAAAACATCATCTGGTAATTAGTTTACTTTAAAAATAAAGGAAGTAGAAATCTAGTTAAAAATAGTGTTGACTTCGTCACATAAAAATTTTAATAAATATTTTTGTACATATGAAAGTTCATAACCATTTTAAAAAGACTTACACATTGCAATTACATTTGTTTAAGCAGACAGTTTTTCTCAACCTTGTTTGAAGCATGTACAGTAAACTAAATATTATGGTTCTAAAAAGTTAATGGGATTGATTATTTATGATTTCACATTTTTTTTCTCCTTTAGGCAAAGATGCCAGATCCAGTTCTTCTAGCTCAAAGATTCCATTCCTGACAAATCTAAACCCTCGCTCCTGGGGAAGGATGAGTACTGCAGCTGATAGACAAACTACCATGAAGGTTATACCATAACATTCCTTTTGAAATAAATCATTGAAAATATTCTTCGGCAGGCTGAAATTAAAATTTACACGCACCGCTGAAACCAACAAGCAACCCATTAGTGTTGAGTTCCATGAAATATTTGTAGTCTCTTGATCTTTCCTTCAATGCTTATTGAGATTAACATCTAGATTAACATCTCAATGTCATTTAGTTTTAACATCACAGTGTCATTTCAGGTCATGATTTTCCCCTAAATATTTGTGTGTTCACATTCAACAGGATATGCTATCTCACAAGCAGATGCCACCTCCTATGATCGTGAACAAGGAAAAGGTTAAGGCCTGGATTAAGGAACAATGTAAGTGTTCATTTAATTTGATCTGGTCATGAAAACAAAACAGCCCTAACAAAAGAGATTTGATAATAATCTTTTTTTTTAAATTTCATTTATTTTTTTATTTCATCAAATTACTATAAATATAGGACATAGAAGCCTAGGAAAGCAACAAAATCTAATTTACTATTAAAAAAAAATATTTTTCTCAAATGTTGCAGGTAAAGTTTTTATGGAGAAATATTTCTCAATTGATATTCATGGAGAGTCCCACCCAGCCCTGGACATGCTCAAACGTCTGTGTACTGCTACCAAGTGTCTTTCACTACAGGTATAAATACAGATGTTCATATATAAAACATATTTAAGGCAAGTGAAAATATGAGGAAGTGATTTGTTACGAGCCTGGCCCCCTTCTGTTTAGGTACCCCATTAACTTGACTGTGTCAGGTAAGCACACCCCAGAAGCACAACGTATGTAACGGTACACGGCCATAACCAACCTTGATTTAAGCTGACCATGACCTACTTAATCGTCAAGCACGCGAAACGAGTATGCCTATAACTGGATGCATCGCCCTTAGAGGAGTAGACCAAATGAGGAGGAGAGAGAGATAGGTGGTCAGCCGTCCGTTGCAATTGTTTAGTATTAGATTAGGGCCATTTAATTGTTATCAGAAATATTAATTCCAGGAACTTAGACTAGTGATAGTATTGTGTATGTATTATTACTGTGAGGATTTTAGATATTGTTAGTGTTAGACTTGCATTCATTTCTTTATATGTAGATTTCAGGTATCTTTGTTCACATAGTAATCCATGTAATAAAGTACATTTAAATAGTGCACTGACTGTCCGGGATTTCTATTCAGAAGTTACTTTGTGGAATTCTGTTTTAGAACCTTTGTCAACACTAAACTCACAGTAAAGTTAGGAGTGCTTGTTAGGTTTTCAAGTTAGGAGTGCTTGTTAGGTTTTCATAGGAGTTGTACTAGTGCGCGGTGTTGTGCACTTCTATTTCACCAACACTACACACCAGTTCTTTGGTGTTATTGTCTTTGTTCTTGGCAAGTTTTCTCATTAAGAATGGAAATATAAACATTTCTCCGGAATCCATCAATTCCTGTCTTAAATAGTTTTCAAAGGAAAGAACTGATTTTAGTCTTAAAAGCTTTAGATATCAAATTTAAGCCTGCCAGTAGAAATTCTGTCCTCACAGATCAAATCATTGTGCATTTTGTAAATGAAGGTTTGCTAGAGTAAGAATGTTTAAATTTAATAGCTCCAGAGATAGACAGCGATCACCCTTTTAAGATAAGAGAATTAGAGATTAGAGAGAAAGAATTAGAATTACATTCAGAGATCCAGACACAACAGTTAGAGTTAGAAAAACAGAAATGGGAAGATGAGAGGGACATGAAACTTAATCAGTTAGGATGTGATGACAGTAAGCCTAGTACTCTGGTCAATTCATCTGATTCATCATTGTCTCCTTCTATTCAGTCATTTATACGTAGTGTTCCTAAGTTCGATGAGGCAGACTTAGAAACTTATTTTAAACACTTTGAGTTGTTAGCTAGCAAATTGGCCATTAGAAATCCAAACAATATTATTAAGTATGGCATTGCACGGTGAGGTGTCACAAATCTTCTCCTCACTACCAGCTGAGTCACAAAGTGACTACAGCCTGGTAAAAGCAGCCATAATAAAACCTAATGAGCTGACTCCAGAGGCTTATCCCCGAATGTTTCGCAGTCTCAAGAAACATCCAGAGCAAACGTATGTGGAGTTTCTCTACGAAAAAGATAAAATTTTTGACAGATGGCTGATAGCTGAGAATGTTGACTCCCTTAACAAACTCAGATCACTTCTACTTTTAGAAGAGTTCATGGCTTCCATCCCAGAAGAAGTGAGATCACACCTGATGGATTTATACATCAAAGACATCCGAAGAGCAGCTGAGATGGCCGACAACCATAACCTCAACCACAGGACCAACAATCCCACTCTTCGCCAGTGCACACACCCTGTGACACTGCCAGTGACTGAACAACAGTTTGGCACATTAACAAGACATCAAGACTCACACAGTGATAGGAAACCGTCACCTCCACAACTGTTTTGCCGGTATTGTAAAAAACAAGGTCACCGAGTAGAACAGTGCCGCAGCCAGAAATACACCCAGAATAGCCAGAATGACCAGGATGTTAGGCCTGTCGGTTTCATCCAACTGATCGACGAACATCCACATCCCGTTGATCACCAGGTCGCCTTTGTTAAGGATAGCAAAAGGTCGAACCAATGTTAAGTCAATGAAAAGAAAGTCCCATTGACAAAACCGCCTCATGTCAAAGAAAGATTCACGAAATCACGCGCATGTGAAGATACCGTCATGGCACTTAAGCTTCCAGAACCAATTCTCCTCTCTCCTAGTTTGTCATCATCACCGGATTCACCTCTTGAAACACATGAGGCGTTCAATCCCTTCATCACTGAAGGATATGTATCCATTCCTGGAAAACCCTTTTAAAAAAAAGCGTTACCATATTACGAGATACTGGAGCCTCCCAGTCCCTGATATTACAAAGCACCCTTCCACCCTCCACTGATTCAGCAGTGGTTGGTGAAGTCATTCTACAAGGAGTTGGTTTAGGTCAAACCTCAGTACCTCTCCATATCATCAAAATTTCACATAGCCTAGTAAAGGGCAATGTTTTAGTCAGTGTCCTCAATCAATTACCAATAAAAGGTGTTGACTTGATACTTGGCAACGATTTAGCGGGCGCAAAAGTTTTCTCGGAGCCACTCACAAACCATCCGCCATTTTCTTCACTCCCCAAGAGTGAACATCGGGAATCATACCCATCCTTTCCAGTCACTAGAAGTATGTCTGAGAAAGCAAAGGTTGCAGTTCCTCCAGGGGATCTAAAGGATACTTCCTTTATGGAACCAATTAAGCTTACAAAATCCTCCGAACTCTACTCAGACCTCCTACAATTACCCTCGCAATCAAATCATCAAAATCTTTTAGCAGCCCAACTAAGTGATCCGGAAGTCCAAGATCTTACGAAAGAGGTCATATCTGTAGAAAACATGACTAACACTAATACTTGTTTTTATCTCAAGAACAACTTGCTATTCCGAAAATTTGTGCCACCAGACGCTTCAACCAACGAAACTTGGTGTGAAGTTCATCAGTTAGGGGTGCCTAAGATCTACAGAGATGAGGTGATGTATTTCGCTCACGACTCACCCATGTCAGGACATCTAGGAATAAAAAAGACATTAGCGAAAATTCGTGAACATTTTTACTGGCCTAACATGAAGAAAAATGTTAGTCACTATTGCAAAACTTGTGAAGTTTGTCAAAGAATAGGTAAGTCAAATCAAACCATTCCTAGGGCGCCTTTACACCCCATTCCTGCCTTTGAGGAACCATTCTCTACTGTACTCCTTGACTGTGTTGGTCCATTGCCAAGGACAAAGACCTGTAATGAATATATGCTCACCATCATGTGCGCTTCTACCAGATTTCCCGAAGCCATTCCTTTGAGAAATATACGCACAAAGAGCATCACCAAGGCTATCATTAAGCTTTTTTACCACCTTTGGCCTCCCTCAAGTAGTGCAGACAGACCAGGGAAGTAACTGTACCAGCAAACTCTTTAAGGAGGTAATGTCTCAACTTGGTATCAAACATGTCCATAGCACTGCTTAATCACCCTCAGTCACAAGGAGCTCTAGAACGCTTCCACCAATCCATCAAAACTATGATGCGTGCATATTGTATGAACAATCCCCAATGGGATGAAGGTATTCCACTGCTACTCTTTGCAGCCCGAGATGCAGTCCAAGAATCCTTGGGATTTTCTCCTTTCCAACTTATTTTTGGACATACTGTCAGGGGACCACTGAAGCTACTGAAAGAACATTGGATAAATCACGATCAATATGAAAACAACACTAACTTACCAGACTTTAAGGAAAAATTAGAGAACATATGGGAAATTGCACGTGCAAATTTAGAAGAAACCCAGTTGACGATGAAACGACAATACGATAGAAAATCTAAAGTCAGGAATTTTAATCCTGGTGATAAAGTTTTGGTATTACTACCGGTTCCAGAGAATTCTTTATCAGCCAAGTATTGTGGGACCTATGCCATTCATTCAAAACTGAGTGAGGTCAACTATGTCATCAACACCCGGATTGAAGGAAGAACCAGAGAGTGTGTCACATTAATTCAATAAAACCTTTTTATGAGAAAAGTGTTGCAGCTGGACAAGTTAAAGTTGTCCATGCAACTGTCCATTCCAATGAAGGGTTTGAAGAGACTATGCCAGACAAGTCTAACCCTTTAAAGTTGTCCCACTCCATGATATTATCCAATATAGATGACAAGTTGTCACATCTACCTGAGGGCCACAGAACTATGTTGACTAATCTTATATTTGGATCAGTGAAACTGTTTCCTGATGTTCCAGGGGAAACGAACATTTGTACCCACGACATAGTGTAGGAAATGCAGTACCTTTGAAAAACACCCTTATAGGGTGAGCCCAGAGAAGCTGGACATAATTAGAAATGAAATCCAATATATGTTGCAGAATGACATAATAGAATACAGTCAGAGTAGTTGGAGTTCACCTTGTATTCTTGTACCCAAACCTGACAACACCTTCAGGTTCTGCACTGATTTTAGAAAGGTTAATGCTTTAACCAGGCCAGATTCCTTTCCTTTACCCAGAATAGACGATGTTATAGACAAAATTGATCAATAAAAATTTGTAAAAAAGATTGATCTGTTGTCTGGCTATTTCAAATTCCTTTAACAGAAAGAGCAAAAGCGATCTCAGCTTTCCTAACCCCTGATGGTTTATTTCAATATAAAAGAATGCCCTTTGGTCTAACGAATGCCCCCAGTACTTTTCAGAGAATGATCAATTATGTTATTTCTGACATTGAAAATTGTGATGCATACATAGATGATGTTATTGTTTACTCACCTGACTTTGAAAAACATTTGTGCCAGTTGACCAAATTGTTCTCTAAACTTAAAGAGGCTAACCTAACTGTAAATCTCCATAAAAGCGATTTTTGTAAGGTAACCATTACCTATTTAGGGCACCAAGTAGGTAACGCACAGGTTAGGCCTGTCAACGCCAAAGTGGATGCCATTTTAAACTTGACCCCACCTGCAAATTGTAAACCGCTAAGAAGATTTTTAGGGAGGTCTGGATACTATAGAAGATTCTGTAAAAACTTCTCGACTGTGGCAGAACCAGTCACCCGTCTTCTTAAGAAGAATGTCAAATTTTTTTGGACAGTAGAAATCTCAAAACGCTTTTGAAAAAATAAAGGCATTTTTATCAGACTCCCCAGGGATTGCTGCACCTGATTTTAGCAAACCTTTCAAACTGGCAATAGATGCCAGTGACAATGCCATTGGTTCAGTTTTGTTACAAGATGATGACCATGGTATTGAACACCCAATCAGTTACTTCTCTAAGAAGCTGAATGTTCATCAACAGAACTACTCCACCATAGAAAAAGAAACACTAGGTTTGGTATTATCTCTGCAACATTCTGAGGCGTATGTCAGTTCATCAGTGAATCCACTCGTAGTGTTTACTCATCATAATCCTTTGACATTTGTAAACAAGTTAGGTCTGAAGAACCAGCGTTTGCTGAGATGGTTTTTATATTTTCAAAATTTTAATCTTGAAATCAGACACATAAACGGGAAAGATAATGTGGTGGCCGATGCATTATCTCTTCTATTAAACTTTCAGTCTGAATCTAATTCCATTGTGATAAAACATAGAAGACATAATATCTGATTTAACATTACTCAATTTTATTGCATTAATTTGTTTTGCCTGACTTATTATCAAACTATATTTTGTTGTAGTATGGTATTTTTAATATATGCCATGCCAAGTATTTGCATGTGTTTTTATCCCAACAGGTAGCCAAGAAACATTGGAACTTTTATATCAGTCATAAGTGTTGACATTTATTTTTACTTTTATTATCACATTTGGTTTCCATGTGTAAACCATCTTTAAGGATCTTAATGTTGTCATTGTCCACTGTTTGTAATTTAGGTAAGCATGCCTTATGGAAACAAAGTTGTTGTTTTTTTTTCTTTATGTTCTTATACTTATACTGATACACTTATTTTAGTATGTAGTTATCTAGTGTAATCACTATGAATGTACTATTCTTTATTTCTGTGTCAAAATTTGACAATGAAGAATTTATAAGTTTACTATTGGTTAAACACCAAAGCTAGTTTATATATATATTGGAACTTAGTGATGTCATTTCGCTATAAAAAAATTCCCAATATAATTGTCAATTTTTTTTCCCCAAGTGGAAGTGTGTTAAGAGCCTGGCCCCCTTCTGTTTAGGTACCTCATTAACTTGACCGTGTCATGTAGGCACACCCCAGAAGCACGACGTATGTAACGGTACACGGCCACATGTAACGGTACACGGCCACAACCAACCTTGATTTAAGCTGACCGCGACCTACTTAATGGTCAAGCACACGAAACGAGTATGCCTATAACTGGACGCATCGCCCCTAGAGGGGTAGACCAAATGAGGAGGAGAGAGAGATAGGTGGTCAGCCGTCCGTTGCAATTGTTTAGTATTAGATTAGGGCCAATTTAATTGTTATCAGAAATATTTATTCCAGGAACTTAGACTGGTGATAGTATTGTGTATGTATTATTACTGTGAGGATTTTAGATATTGTTAGTGTTAGACTTGCATTCATTTCTTTATATGTAGATTTCAGGTATCTTTGTTCACACAGTAGTCCATGTAATAAAGTACATTTAAATAGTGCACTGATTGTCTTTCTTTTAGCCAATATAGTGTGTCTAAAATCTACCTGTTAGCCCTCTTTTCTAAACCCCTAGACCACGAGCTTGTTCAAATTCATTGAACACATAGGGGGCGTAACAGTTTGAACACACAAAATATTACATTTCTTTGTAAATTTCAACAGAGAGGTGTGAATTATCCTCACTTCAATGCAGATTTTATGCATGAAAGTCACATATTTACTTTTTTTCCCTCTTCACTCTGTTGTAAATAAATGAATGATATGATAAACTTTGATAAAATGTAAAACTGGTATTTTTAATTATACTAGAGATTAATGAAATTGAAACAATACATTTAGGATTTGTATAGACCAACTTTTATTTTTTCCAGGGTGACAGTGGCTTAGACTGCCTACTGGAGATAGCAACCATTATGCGAGAAAGTGATGTTTCTCCATTTGAAGTTATACACAGTGGGCTAATTTCTCAACTCCTTGAGTACCTCACATCTACATCTGGTGACGTGAATAGAGACATACGCATACGCAGATTTCTTCATGTCTTCCTCAACTGCCCCGTAAGTTGATGAAAGAAACATTTTTAATGACAACTTGTAATGATAAAAAAATGTAATTATTTTGTAATGAGATTTTCTTATAAATTTTGTTGTTGTTGATAATTTAAAATTAAATTAATTTTTTGTCATTTACATGAATTTGTTAAAATTTTTAGCATTTTCTCATCTTAAAAATGTTATTGCCTTACAAAAGAGCATAGGGTAAATAAATTTCGGCAAATTTGTTTATATTTGTTTAATAAACTTAAATTGTGATCGTGCTAAATAAAAGAAGCTTAATGAAAAAAAAATATATATTTTGTGTCAATGGTGTTTAGGGGTTTGTTTGTACTTCAAGATACAATTTCAATGCTTTTCAGTGTTGCAATATTCTTTAGTTTTATTTATCAATGTACAGCCACCAAGCGTGACTTACATGAAAGAACCTCCAGCTGAAAAGAACAATACCCCAGCTCTTTCATATCTTGTGTCCAAGCTCATGGCCTGCTTACATCAGCTGGAACAGGTGCGTACTTAAATTAGTTGATCTCAATTATTATTATTGGTAGTGGTTTTATTTAGCGCGGTAAACCAGCCTAGAGATGGGCTCACCACACTGTACATACAATTTAACAAACATTATCATGAACTGGCTGAAATTTAAACTATATTTTTTAAAATTTTCTATTCCCAGAAGGAATGATCTCTTTAAGTGACATTTTTAGTAAATCAAATAGTTTATTATACACAAAGCCATTAGATCTTTCAGTGCACTTAGGCTTGATGTTTTATTATGTACATGGTATTTTTTGTGTTAAGAGTTGAACATTAAAAAGGGGCAGGATCAAAAGACCTCTAATTCACGTCTTTCGAATGAGCAAGCAGAGTAATGAAATCATAATAAATTTCATGAAAAAAAATTCAATATCTTTGTCCTAGTTTCAAGTGAAGGTTCATGACCTCCCTGGTGGGAACAGTGGAAGCAGTCGTGGTGGAAATGCTTTAAAATTCTTTACTACACACCAACTCAAGGTAAAGTGCTCCACTCATGCCTACTGTCAAATAAGCCATAAACTGCCCAGCCCACCTGATTTCAATTATTCCTCAACATTATTTACCATTACTGGCCCTTATTATGCATGATGCATTGTAAATAATGATACTTTAATGAATGTATTATTTGTGTACTGATATATTTTTGCTGCCATTCTTACAATTATAGAATTTATTTATAAGTTGAAAAGGTCTAAAATGTATATGATTACCATTTTATTGCCTTCATCGGGGCAGGTTTTAATGCTGGTATTAACGTTAGTTAGTTTTTAGAGTTAATTAATTAAAATAACTGTGCTTTGATATAATTTAAATGGTTTAGTTTTGTACAATCTGAGAGTATATATACCTAAAAAAAAGTAACTTCTAAAATAATTATGACTTAGCTACTCAGATTTGACAAGACTCCAAGCATTACTAACAAAAATGTTTTACTATTTAATTTCTTAATGCTCATGTAACTACTATGGAAAAATTTTGTAACATTGATCAATAGTTTTGTTTTTGAAACATTTAATTTTCATGATGAGAAAAGGAGTTTTACATCAGAAGTTAAAATAAGCCTATTCCCACACAGTGCCAACTACAGAGACATCCTGCTTGCACTACACTGAAGCAGTGGAAAGGTGGGCCGGTCAAAATAGACCCCCTAGCTCTTGTACAAGCCATTGAGAAATATTTGCTGGTCAGAGGGTTTGGTAAAACTAGGGTGAGAATTTAGTTTTTTTTCATTATACTGAATTGTATATAATCATTCATCCTGAAAGTTGTAGTAGGAAGGAAATTGTGCTTAATCTTGTGAAAATATGTTTTCTAAGAACAAAAAAAGTGGAACACAGAATAAAATTTAAAACATAGCATAAATTTCATTGCACTTAATATAATTATTCTATAGAAAAATGTCAACGGCTTTCTGTCTCAGAAGATAATTTATTGTGTTTTGCTTGACAGGAAGGGGCTGATGAAGACCTTAGTGATGACGATAACTCTGATGAAGAGATGGAGGAACAGATGGCTTCCATCATGATTTCAGCTACATCTCCCAGGCACAGGCTTGAGTTCCTCATAGGAGACCACATCCTGCCTTACAACATGACAGTGTACCAAGCAGTCAAACAGTTTGTGTGCCACGGGGGCACTGAGGTGGGTGACTTCAGTGATGGTGACACTGACACACCATTTGGGAATACAAGCATCTGGGTGCAGACTCACACTATTTGGTCAGTAATTTTTAATAGACGAAATTTTAATTTACATTTTTTAAATTAGAAAAGATGTAGATTTGTCATTAATGTACATTGTAGAGTTCCATATATAATACACTACATGTTACATAACCCTAAAAAAATATTATTACCTGATATTATCTGTGATAAGTTGTTTCTTATTTTAAGGGCCTTAATTTTTCATGTCACTGAATTTTGATGGATAGATGCATGGTGACAGTTATTTCTATTAAATCATGTCTCTTTCAAATAATTTGTTATACTTGTGTGTTTTAATTTTTTTGTTGTACATTTTAAACTAAAACTAAAAAATCATTTTAAGAATTTAAAAAAAAAAAAATTCCATTATTGATAGGTATCGGCCAGCTACAGAACAAGAGGAAAATATGGCAACCAGTCCTAAGAAAACAAAAGCTGAGTCCAAAGGCTCAAAATCTACAAAGAAAAAAGGTAATGTATTAGCAAAGGTAATCCATTCATGCCTTGTCAAACTTCGATGTTAGTAAAAAGGATACATTTTAAAACTTCTTTTTTATGTACATGCTGGTCTTCTATTTCTATCTTTATTAATATTTTCTCTTTAAAAAAAAAATTATTTAAAATTCCCCTTTATGCATTGATTGTTATTTTTGTTTCTCAGATTCTCGAGCCAGTAGTCCAGTTATTCAGCCTGTCCTACAGAATTTCCTTTCAGACAAGCTTCCCCCATCAGTCACTGTCCAAGATGCTTCACTGGAGACAATAGCATTGTTGAGGGTGCTGCATGCACTCAACAGACATTGGTCATCAATGTATGATGTAAGGCAATGAAGAAAAGTTAATTTATTTTTCAGCTTAAGCCAGTCAATAAATATTATTGGAAATAATCCAGTGATGTAATAAATGTGATGACTACTACCTAGAAAGTGTACATAGAGTGATGATGAATGAGACAGAAACAATTAGTGTAATATCTTAAACCACCAACTGCCAAAGCTGACTATCATCAGCCGTTATGGCTGTTTCTGTTGTGTTACAGCTCATAAAATCGCATATCCTAAAATTAATATTATAAAAAAAAGAATCAGACCGTATAAGGGTAATATTTTTTTTTTTTTGAAAGGGGGATAACTCTAACAAAATAGATGATGTCATTGTTTTTTTTTTTTTAATTTTGAAGGTAGCTGCAATTTTTTGAGTTTTTTTATTTTAACTAATGTGTAGGTCTCTAATTTTGGCCAGGGAAAAGCAAAAGTCTAATTTATATGAATTATGGCTTTATGAAATTGATTTGAATATAGTTTTGTTGGCATTATTCATGGTAGTGATAATTTGATAGTGCAGCAGGCATTAGTAGCAGTTCAACGTCTAATAGTGGAAGTAGTGGAGAATAGAGTACAGGTACTAAAAATTAATAGGCAATATATAAAGAAATATGTAGGTCAATAAATTTATTTTATTTTAAAAAAAATTTCTTTAAACCCAAAATACTTTAAATATTCTTAACTGAAAGAATGTTTTATGTGTCTGAAAAACTTATTGAGATGATAAAAAGGACCCAAAAATCAATGTGGGCGTGTGTTGAACAAAGATAAACAGTAGCACAATTGTATTCTTCGTTGAGAGGTCATAATCATATTTATTTCACATAGCTAACTTTTCCAACATTCATACTATAAGATTTGTTGTAAAATTCACTCTCAGAATATCTATACTTATAGTCTTATAGGGATTAATTCTCTATTAGTTTGGGGTATTTTAGTGATCAAAGTTACTCAAAAAGAGTTGACACCAAGGCACGTTTGCATTTAACAGTTGGGTTTTAAAAAAAATATTTTTTTTGGGTTAAATTTTCAGTTGAAGTAATAGCTGTATAGACTGAGTTTCTGAAAGTTTTCAGCTGATAAAATTTTATCATAACTTACTGTTAAAAATAACAAGTTTTTATTATTATGTTATTTAATAATAAATTTAAACACATATTTTATATAAAGCAATTCAAAGTAAAAGGTGGATAAAAATTAAAATATCTACACATAAATGCCATGACAGAAATTATTATTTTTCTATTTTGTGATTATGGATTTAAGTCTCTTATCGTTTAATTAGCCTCACTATTTTTTGTTTGTGGGCCACTGTGTTTAATTCTATTGTATCTTAAGTGTAATAGTTAGCTTTATGGCTTCACTATAGATTAAATATGGGACATATTCAAATGAAAGGAATACTGTGTGAGTTTATATTTACTGTTAAGACTTTTTGGTTGTATCTGTGAACAGTCATCTCTTTTTTTTTTGAAGGTATCATTCCTGCCGTCCCCTATCTTAGCCAACACTGAGTTCATCAGCAGCAAACTGACAGCCAAAGCAAACAGACAGCTCCAGGATCCGCTCATCATCATGACAGGCAACTTGCCTAACTGGCTACCTGAGATTGGACAAGCTGCGTAAGTTTTCTTGACTTCTTTATTTACAAGTTCCGTAAAAGCAATCTTTAGGAGACAACCAAGTATGCATAAATAATGCATAGAAAAGTTTATTTTCTCTAACTCCATTAATTAATATCATATCTCTGGTATTCATTACTTTGAATAACACTAAAAGTTAGGTTAGACTAAATAAATGAAAAAAATTTGACCTAGCTTTCCCATGTTATCTATGCATATATTATATCATTTATGGATTAGACCAGTGCTGTCCAACCTGTGACCCATGAACTGATTTTGAATGAGAAATTTGTATGATGTATGTAAAAAAATAAAAAAAACATAAAGGGGTGAAAATATTTTCAAACCACATTCATTGATTTAGTATTGTTGGGAAATCACGTGAGAGCTTGGAAGAAGTTGTAACATAGAAAGGGGGGGGGGGTGTCACAAAAGCTAAGGAGTCAGTTGGCTTGACAGGTAGCAGTAATAAATACTAAGCAATTCAGCAGAGCAACGATTATTTGGGAACCTGGTCTAAAAAACATCAGATACCATATTCTCCTTCTTTCTGTTGATTGTACAGGGGAGGCGTCGCAGGGTATTGGATATAATTAATGACAGCGTTTGGAAAGATGAATTGGGGAACCAAAAGTAACTTGATGTGGTCCATGTAAAAAATGTCCATGCCCCCACATCGGGGACCAAGTTAGATGAAATAGGTTGGTGAGCATAATGAATTAACTTGTGCCAAGAAAGTATTTGGGTCAGAGTAATCCAGATGGGAATTAGGGTACTAAAGGTGTCACAATGGAATGGGGCAGTGTGAACCATTTATGGTGCCATGTTATTTAAACAGGAAGTCTTGCCAGGTATGTGAGAGTGTGTCCATCCTGTGTTGTTGCGACATTGGGGAAAGTAACTGGCATTCAGAGATCAAGAGTATGAGATGTTCAATAAGTAGAAAGCAGAATACACGCTGTGATTGTTTGTAGTTAGTGGAAGAATTTTGTGAGACAGTACGAACGATTCTTGAAAGTATTTTTTTTGTAAACATACTTAAGAATGTGTGGCAAAATGAATTCTGGATGGGGTATGTTTCTTCTGATGAATTTTCCCAGCTATGTAAATGTTGGAACAAAAATGTTGACCATGTTTTTGGAAGCACCTTACATCAGTTAAGCTGGATTCTCTGTCATGACCAACATCAAGTCCAAAAAAAAAAGGAAATGTCATGCTTTGACTTCACTGGTGAACATTAGAAAATCTAATAAGGGCAGGTGCTACTGATAACTACCTCAAATTAAGACCTTTGCATGTACAATTCAAAACTTAATATATCATTAAAAAGGGCTATAGTTTTTAATCATTTTATTTATATTCTTGATGAGCCAGTAATGCTATTGGATATTTATTACTCTTTATGCAAAAGGTAAGAAGTATTAATAATTTTTTTAAAAATTCTTTTGAGATGCCATTTGAGACACTCAGGTTCCCGGAAAGTTTTTTTGGCCCACATAGTCAAAAAGGTTGGACACACTGGATTAGACTATTTTTGATGCTGTTTTTTGTTTGATCTTTTCTCAACAAATAATATTCCAATGAGGATGGGTTTAAACAGTTAATGTCTATAGTTTTTTCCTAGTATTTGGAGGTTTCAGAACCTCAGAGATGTCAGTGGGCTTTAGAAATTTGGTTTTGGGTTTATATTTATACATGTGCTTGAACATAATTAAAATATTCAATTAATATAACTTAATTTTATTGATTTAAATTAATTTCTTCAGGCCATTCCTGCTCCCCTTTGATACAAGACAAATGTTATTCTTTGCTACAACCTTTGATCGTGACCGAGCAGTGTTAAGGTTGCAGCAAGATCAAGCAGGAGAAAGTTCTACACATGATAGTGAGAGAGTGGGACCTCGGCTGGACAGAAAGAGGGTCTGATTAATACTATAAAATTAAATTAATTAAAAATTTGTTTTTTCACTAATAAAAATGATGGAGTGATTGATTTGCACCCACTATGGCAACTGGGGCATTAAGATTTTTCTGCGACATGACCAGGTCTTTGACCTTGTTTTCATTTACTTGTAATTGGAATTGTGATTATTGTTATGACTCTGAGGTATATTTAAGAAATTTTGGAACATTTTTATTTCTTCAAAAAACTTTAGCAAATCTTGTTTAAAGTAATCTTTTTAATTAATACAGAAAGAGGTCAGCCGTAAAGACATCCTCAAACAGGCAGAGAAAGTGATGGAGGACATAGGCAATTCTACCAATGCCAGGACAATGCTAGAGATCCATTATGAAAATGAGGTAACAGGGATCACCTCACTTCTCTTTAGTGCTACTGGCCCCCCCCCCCCCTCAAATCATCAGTCAGAATAAAATGATCATCAGATTAAACAAATTAATTTCAAAACGCAATTATGTGTTTAACAGCCTCAGTGCATCATTGTTGGTGAGGAGGATGGCACGGAGGAAGACAGAAGAAAGACAGAGGTGCATTCAAAATGAAAATTGAAACCTAATTAAATAATGATAAAAACAAAAGCTAAAAATATTCAAAGCTAAAAATATTCAATTCAATTGTCAAGTCTGTTCTTTTCTGTTCACTGTGGCATCTACTTAACTCATATAAAATTTGAAATTAGTCCAACATCAATATTAAGTTCTGTTTTCTTTATTTTTTGCCTTGTACAGATGAAGGCTGTGAGTCTGTATAGTCTATATTTTATTTCTGATCAAATTTGAACTATTTTGACACCCTGTGTTTAATTTAAAGTTCTAATAAATTGGGAAATTTGTATTCAATCTATTGATTATGTAAATCTTTTTTAAAATAATTTTTTTTTTTTAAAGCTATGTGATCAGCATGCTTTTAATTTTATTAATCTCTCAGGTTGGAACCGGTCTTGGTCCTACACTTGAGTTCTATGCCCTGGTCTCCAAAGAACTGCAGCGTGCAGATCTGGAACTCTGGCGGGGAGACAGTGTCACAGCCACCAACCCAGCAGACCCCAATGTCAAGCTTGACTACACACTGTCGGCCTGTGGTCTCTTCCCATCCCCCCTGCATCGCAGCTCCAAGGCTGCACATGTAAATAAAGTCAAAGCCAAGTTTAAATTCCTTGGAAAATTCATGGCTAAAGCTCTGATGGACTCGAGAATGGTAAGTTTTTATGCACTTTGAAGGTTTTCAGTCAGACTTAAAAATAATAGCTCCTTTTTTTATTGTTTTTCCACCATAATCTACCAAATTAAAAACAGATTATGGTGGAATTAATTTCTATTGCTATTTTCAACAGAATTAAGTGTAGAATTTGGACCGTATTTGACTTTAATTTTAACGTTCATTTTGACCATGGGGATTATTTCCTGCAACTTTGTTAACCACTTTTTTGTATTTCATGAGTTCATTGAGAGAAAAGTTAATTGGCTGAAGGGAGCTATGTGAAGTGTAACTATTTAATTTTTTTCAGAAAAATTTAAATGAAATGATTAAAATTTAACTTCTTTTCTGAAAAATGTACTACATATTTAGACATTGTTTTTTAAATTTTATTCTAAATCCTGTTAATTAGTCCCAATTTTTATTTCATCATTTCTTGTTAAATTTTTTCTTATCAAATTTAGAGAGCTTTTATTAATTCAGTTATAAAAAGGATTTTAAAAATTTTGTATAGCGGGCACCGTAAGATAATTAGAAAAATGTTGGAAAAGTATTTAATTATTTTGTAAAATTTAAATACAGACACGGAGCAATCTTTTTTCCCGCAGATCGATTTACCGCTAAGTAGAGTGTTCTATAAATGGATCCTGGGCCAGGAGAACTTTCTATCATCCAGTGACCTGTATCATGTTGATAGAGTGCTAGGCCGCTCCTTTCAACAGCTGGAGAACATTGTACATGAGAAGAAACAGATTTGCAGTGATAAGTCATTGACAGATGAAGGCAAGAAACAGGCTATCAACAACTTGACCATGGATGGCTGCTCACTCGAGGACCTGGATATTTACTTTGTTTTACCTGGCAACGAAAATATTGAGTTATGTAAAGGGGGCCGTGATATTCAAGTGGGTATTGACAATTTGGAGGAGTATTTGCAGGTAGGTCTTGCTGTTAATTTAAGTTTGTAATTATAAGTATAAGTTTCCAAGCTCCTGAAGCTGTAACCAGTTGACTTAGCTTAGCATATACACATAAATGTTTCCAAGTTCCATGAGTAAGATCAAGCTCCGACAATGGTTCCAAAAATTTTATTCCGCCAAGCACAAAGAAGTCTGCTAAAAGGTGTCATTCACTAGTATCATAAAAGAGTGCAAATAATACAAGGAATCAATACATAATTTCATTATGATTTTTATTGTTATTGAAAATGAAAATTTAGATAATTTATGCACAGCATATGTACAGTGCAGAAGGCTGCATTGACTGCAGCATATTTTCTTTCTCTGAGATTTTAGCCCAGACTTTTAATTTGAAAGAAAATTTTACAAGTCAAAATCTTGGTTTATGGCTCTGTAAGTTTTTCATAGTGATAAAAGTTTAAAATGATAACATCTGAACATCACTCAACCCAGGCTGCCATATTGAGATACAAATTTGTTTAATGCTAATATGATGCCAAACTTGTGGTCAAGCATTGGCTGGTGCACACAAAAAGTTTGGCAGGTCTAAGGCTCAGCATTTCATTTAAGCTTTTTCATGGCTAAGAATAAGCATTCCCAGATTTAATATGCACTTAAATATAATCATTTCTTTTTTAAATCTCCATCACCCACAGCTTGTATTACATTGGAGTCTTGTTGAGGGAATCATTCGACAGTTTGAAGCATTTAGGGATGGCTTTGAGTCTCTCTTCCCATTATCTACTTTACAGTGCTTCTACCCGGAAGAGGTAAGAATTAGTTCTTAGATTTTTTTAATTTTAAAATTTCTATATTGGATTAGAATGAAAATATAACAGAGTTCATTTTTTGTTTTTTTGTGCATTAATGCCAGTTCAAGGAAATTGTGAATATATTTAATTTGTAGAGCTTAAGTTCAATAAATCATTAAAGAATTACCTTAGCATGTGATTTCATTAAGAAAATTTCAAATATATCCAAAGAAAATTTTATTAAACTTGAATAAACCATTGACTTGTCCATCTAGAATTTTTAAAAATATATTTAATCAATTGTGATGTATGAGGATGCAATAAGTTGTGATGAGTATTTAATGTCTCTTAACCTCGTTTGTCCACAGTTGGAGCAGCTATTCTGTGGTAACATAGCTGATGTGTGGGACGTTCGTATGCTGATGGACTGCTGCAGGCCAGACCATGGCTACACACATGACTCACAGGCTGTCAAGTTCCTCTTTGACGTGCTCAGCAGTTATAATAACACAGAGCAGAGAGATTTTCTTCAGTTTGTCACAGGTTCACCAAGACTGCCTGTTGGAGGTGAGTTAAAGTCTATAAAAATAACACAGCCACATTTTTGTTATGATGGTGATTATGGTGTTGCTTTGTGTTTTCACAATGACCTCACTAGACACGGCAACAATAATATTAGGATTGTTTCCCCAGTGACGATTTTAGTCCATCCTCCCTTTTGTTTGCTTTGGTGCTGTAGTTTGGCTGAACTGCAACAATTGCAAATAACAGAAAATTCGTGTTTTTTAATATTTTTTTTAAAAAATGAGAACGCATTCACAACCTTTCAGCACAGCAACATTATACTTTATTATTTGTTATAGGATCAGAAAGGGACTTTAAAATCTATTTTTAGAATTAAATCTAAATTTCCTTGGTAGGTTCTGTAAATGACATCCTAATTTTATTTTATGCTGAACTGACTTAAAATTTGAACCTGTAAAATTTTAACCCGTAACTTAATTTTTAACAATAACAGATTATGTTAATGTGCTCTGCATGTTGACCCAGAAAATTAATTGATATCTATAGCAGATACAGGTCAGCAAAAAAAGATATCACAGATTGCAATATAAACATCAGTCATCTACTTTTGAAAGTTACCTTTTTTGACATCAGCTCAAATCAATCCCACTAGACACCAGTTGCGAGTAGTTATTGTATACATCTTGTTTACTTTATGTTTATTTTTCACTATTGAGACAATATTGTAAGATTTTAGGAGTTTGAGTTTGAGGGTAACCAGGTCTGTGTTGTAAGATTTTCAACACACTTGTCATTAAATGCATTTAATTGTGTCTGAAACGACATAGTCCTATTCAACCGATTCCACAGTAAATCCCAATTTATTGGGATATTTGTCAAGACTTTTGTACATCTGTCCATTACCTCACTTAACAAGAATCTCTCATAACTGTGACTGTCTCTAACTTATGCGATCTTTATTAAAAATCATCCAGGTTTCAGAAGCCTAAATCCACCTCTGACCATAGTAAGAAAGCAGCCCGAAGGCTCCGATGATCCGGACAGCTACCTCCCCTCGGTCATGACATGTGTCAACTATCTCAAGCTTCCAGACTACTCCTCAATAGAGGTGATGAGAGAGAGGCTCAGCAAAGCTGCCAAAGAGGGGCAACTCTCATTCCACTTGTCCTAGTTGTAGTGTGCTCTCTTGGTGAATGAAGATAAACTTTCTCAGGCTGGTTTTTACCCCCACCCTAACTATATTTTCTTCTTCAAGTATTACTATTGTGCTTCTCTGGAAATAGCTGTGTGACCTGTACAAACACCTAGGAAATTAAACTGATGTAAATGTTTTAAGACCAGTTGCCGTGATTAAAGCTATACAGGATGGATGAACTTGTTTTTCTTGTAATGTTGTCTGACTGTATGTATAGCTCTTGAAGGTGAAAACTGAAAACAAAATTAAAATGTGGATTGTCATCAACTTCTATTTCAGATTTAAGATGAAGATTTAAGATGAAAATCTGATCATAAATATGCTGTGGTGTTTGTATTTTAATTGCTTCATAATATGTGCACATATGTCAATTGCAACACACATAAAATTAGTCTAGATTACATTGTTGTGTGGAGGGAGAACAAGCTTGTGACAGAATTTTCATTAATAAAAAATAATAATTTAACCAATATGCATTCATAAGTAATCAACTCTAATAAAACTATATTTATTTTAATGAGGAGGGAGATAGGGGTTGGGGGGGGGGGGGTTTGCTTAAAACAGAAAATTAGGGGTATTATTTATTTTTTTTTCAATGAATATTTTTTTTTTAAAATTGCTTTTCAAATGTGATTGTTTATATTGTATGTGTTTGATTGTCAAGTCACCCTCCCAACTGTGAACAACCAGATTTTGACAATATTTCACTTGGTTATTTTATATCACAAAAAATCATGAAAAGTAGCCATTCTATTTATGACTTACTTTTTTTTTTTCCTTTAAATCTATTCAGTTTTATGACCATGTAAATATCAAGATAAATAAAGCCGGTTTGATTTTTGTGCTTTTTTAAATTATAAAATCCATTTTTTCTTTGTCTCAGTGTAAAATAAAATTTAATAATTGATTCAAATATTGGAGCATTAGTACAAAATTAAGTTTGGTCTCATTTTTGTTGAATTAACAGGTAGTTAATAAAAAGTTATTTTTAAAAATCAAATCTACTTCAGTAAATATGTTTTTGGATTAGATAAATGTAGATTTCTTTTTCCACATAAAATCAAAGAATTCTTGCAAATCCTATTTTAAATGTCAAGTATTGAAATTGTGTGCTATAGCGTGGCATCTTACTTTTCTTTCATGTGTTAGTTTAAACGTAGAAAACTTAGTATACTACTTCTGATGCATATCAAGAGAGATATTATTCAATAAGTATAATTTCACATAAATACTGTTACTTCCCTTTGAAAGGCTCTATTCTACTTTGTACATAACTACATGTGAGAAAAATCTTGTATTATCAATTTTGTTGTCAGTCTTGAATATTTCAATTGAAGTCATATTTAATCATTGTAATTGGTCCGTAAATGGTGGACGATGATTGCCTGTCTATTGACTCTTTGGTTACCTTGAGTTAATATCCTTACATCATTGAAGGGTTCAGTCTACTACTTAAAATGTGTTCCATATTACAAACACAAGGGTAGGCTGGTGCAACATTAAGAGCCTAGCTTACTCTCTATTGCCGAAACATTGCCATCCAATTCTCTTTCTTCAATGGCTGGATGAGATGCAAAGATTAAAATTTCCTTTTTTAATTTTAAAGAGCTGATTTCCATTCTTCTTTAGGTCCTCATTTTTGGCTTGATCTATATTCAAATAGCTTAAGTGTCTTGAACAGGCGAAAATTTCAAGTTTGATCACTTGCAGTCTGGTGTCTCTTGCTGTGAATAGTCGAGAGCTGGATCACTTTGTAACAAAATAAGCTCACTGTGTTTTGATGATATCCATTGCTGTGTCCCAAGCTGACTCAAAAAAAAAAATGTTAAATTTAGAGACCAACAGATTTAAGGAAGGGATGGAAAGCTGAAAAACAGGAGTGAGATGGTTAATTGTTTGATGAGTTGACACCGCAAATGTTATATATTTGAAACACACGTTTAATTCAGAATATCAATAATTTATTATTTTTTACATTGATTTTTTTTTCCATTTGACCATTTACCTTAAGCCAGCGGTTCTTAAATTGTCTTTGAGTGCCCCCACTTCTTTAGAGTCACGTTAGCTACTACCTGTTATCTGAATGCATGCCATAAAAACACAACATGTGGACCCTACCCCCAGTTTAAGAATCACTGCCCTAAGCCAGGTCATTTGACTGTATTGCACAGGTTGTGCTGTTGTGTTGTTTCATCTGTACATAAACTTGTGTGAAACTCATAAACAAAGATTTGGTATAAAAATAAAATGTACTTGTAAATGCATCTTCTTCATGTGACCATCAGATTAAACATGCTTGTGCTGGCGTAAGTGCATTAGTGGCAAAGATGGATTTCACTGTTCATTACATCTGGTGGACTCTGGTTCAAAGTGTTGGTGGTCCTCTGCATGCGCGAGTGTGTGCATGTCGTGACATTTGGATATGTGAATTGAAATTTTGGCTGTAACTGATGTACATGTAACTTGTGTGGCAGATTTAAGTGGAAGCAAAGTTTGTTGACACACCCTAAAGAAAATGTTCAGTTTATTTTTTTTAATATATATTTTTTTGTTTGTGCTTGTAGCTTTTTGGAGATCTGACAAACTGACAGCTTTTCAGAGTTACTTTAATCTTACTTCAGTGAAGAATAAAAAATTTGTATTTTTCATGTCCCAAATACGTTAGCATTACAGTTTTTTTTTTTCTTCTTCTGGATTTGTTCATGAAGAAATAACCTGCATATCATCTATTTACTAGAATACTCCTTTGTCAATGAGACTACCTATTCAAAGTCCCCGATGCACTGGATGTGGTCTCTGGCTTTGTGGGTAGGTCCGCCCAGACTTGTGTCCATGTTATGTTTTCTTTCTCAGTCAGGAGACTCAAAGATGGCTTTCTCCTTTTATGTTTTCTCCTAAGCATAGTGATTTTTTTCCCTTCCATTTTAAAAGATTTAAATGTACTAAAACTTATTATGTTTAATATCTGAAACTATCCCTCCATGAAAGTGTGGATGTTGCCATTGCACAGTTACATATTAACTATGGGTCATTATGAAATCTTTGGGCATTGTGCCAGATTAATTATTTTTTTACAATGAATTCAACTTGTACTTTTATGGTTTCCACCTTTGAAAACTGCCAAATTGAATTGGATATAATTTTTAAACTTAGATCAATTACAACTTACATCTGTATTTTTCTTTGCATTTAATTAACCCCAAGGAAAAAAAGTTTATTTACTGGTGTTCTGCAATAAAAAGAGCCTAATTGGAATTTTTTATATTTTTTATTAAAGGTAACTTTTGGCCGTAGATAAAGTCATATTTGTAATGAAAGGCTCATGACGAATGCTGTGATCTTCAGGTTATTGATGCCTGGGAGAAAAAGGGTTCATATTTTGGAGCCATAGCATTCATTAGAGATTTTGTGTAGCCATTCTTCAGCAAGGAGTGGAGTTTGAGATGTTCAGACTTGGTTGCCATGTGTTTCATTGATCATTGGATTTGAATGATAACTGAATAATTATGTCAAGGACACGCAACTGGTTTCCAGGACACACACCTTGGGTCCCTAGGATTTATTGAGTTGCCCATGGCTTTGAGCCATAATAAGGTGTTTTGTCCTCAATGCATCCGAGAACTGAAGTCTTGCCCTCCCATGCTCTTTCCTTGTATTACAGGTTGTTCTGATGGTTTAGTAGCTGTCTAGGCAATTATCTCTAACCCATGTTGCTAATTTTGCTTAGAGCCCTTTTTCTTTTTATATAAAGACATCAGATGGTGAATGCAGAGAGATTAAAGAATGTTTATTACAATTATGCTGCATTTTCTTCATTCAATGACATCTTTTGGTTTTCAATTTCATTTGTTCATAATTTTATTATATATAAATATTTTTTTGTGAGTGTTAAAATTAGCCATCTATTTTAAAATGGAGAGAATAAATACACACAAAATTTAAAAAAACATGTTTTTTTGTTGTTTAAAAAGAGATGGCAGTTGAAACTAGAAGAGTTCTTGAACTAATAGAGTTTGGATGGACCCTTTATGCCACCTTGATTTGATTTGATTTGATTTGATTTTTTTTTTGGTTAACCTTTTTTTTAAAGAAATTAAAAGAACCAGATGAGTGATCTGAAAACGAAATGTATATGGTTTGTTTTGTTTTGAATAAAGGAAGCATACAGTCATTAGTTTATGAAGGAGGTTCTCATTTTTTGAAATGAAAGTGTAAAATAAGAAAGGCCTCTTCAAATTATGGGAGGTTGTTGCGTTAATCAAGTTACTTTCAGATTTTCGGAAATTAGAAGCTGGTCACCCAACTTCTCTGAACAAAGTCTCTCAGAAACTATTTTTAAAAAAAAGAAAAAGATATGTTTAAAAAAATCAGACCTCACAATGTTTCAATCCAATATGATCCAAAGCAGGCTGTTGTTTGCTTGAGAAAAAAAAGGGGGGTGGGGGGTATGGGTGTCAAAGGAATTTCTCCTTAAACTTTTTAATCAGGGTTCACATAAAGTTATAAATATTTCAATAGGAAGTATGGACCTTCTTTTTATGTCTAAATGGATAGTCGATGTCCGGTGCTATATTTGTCACTTCTGCCAAGGTACCAGGCCGGCCGGGTTAAGGACCCCTGGCGCGCCGGATCTGACCCGCGGGCCTTAGTTTGAGGATCCCTGGCTGGCCTTAGTTTGAGGATCCCTGGCTGGCCTTAGTTTGAGGATCCCTGGCGGGCCTTAGTTTGAGGATCCCTGGCTGGCCTTAGTTTGAGGACCCATGAGTTAAACCATTATCCTACGAAAGAATACCGCTGACCACGCCCCCACGATCACCACCGTCGGTCATTTGATAATGTGACTTTGGGAGAACGGATGAACGGTAATGATGAAACAATGGCTTAAGACGGGGGATGACTCTGGGTTGGAGGGGATGGAACCCTTGCCACAGTGATTCGGGTCTCAGATGATTTATTTAGAACTTATTAAAATAACAACAGAAGTTTATCCCTGCCAACAATCATAACTAAAGACAGCTGGACAACAGGACTGTCGGCTTGTCTGAAGATGGAAGAATTTTAAAAAATAAAAAATAAATCTCAAGCTCACTTAATTTAAAATAAACTAACAAAAACCTAGTACCTCAGTATTATCAACACCCTAGTACATGAGTATTATCAACATCCTAGTACCTCAGTATTATCAACACCCTAGCACCTCAGTATTATCAACACCCTGGCACCTCAGTATCATCAACACCCTAGTACCTCAGTATTATCAACACCCTAGCACCTCAGTATTATCAACACCCTGGCACCTCAGTATCATCAACACCCTAGTACCTCAGTATTATCAACACCCTAGTACCTCAGTATCATCAACAACCAAGGACTTCAGTATTAAGAGAAAGTAAAACAACCCCAAGACGAGCCAAATGGTGTTTGTAAGCATTTAATCTTGAAACAAGCTGGGGCCCAGCAAAAGGGCAGTGCCCAATATTATATAAAGCGAAGCGGGTAGATGTGTATTTTATAATTTTTTATATTTTCTTAC